GCCACACTCTTAGTCCTTTTGCTTTTAGTTGGTTTTGCAGATACATTCTTGTGCTAACTTTGTCTAGACTAGCCTTGAACCATGATTCTCCTACCTCTGCCTCCAGATTAGCTGGTATTATAGGCATACGCCACCACAGCCAGCCTCCCATACTTCAAGGAAACATTTTGGAATTCCTAGCCAGCATAATAACAGAAATAAGTAAGAGAAGAATTAGAAAGATTTATAAGAAAATAAAATTTAAAAACTTAAATTTATAAGAAAATAAAAATTAAAAATCTTTAAAAAATAGAAATAACAACCATAATTGTTACTGTCAATTTAGAAAAACGAAGAAAATCTGGAGAAAAACTATTTGAACTAATAAGAGAGTTCAAGAGAGCTGTTAGAAACAAGATCAATACACAAATATCAATGTATTAGGGGCTGGGAAGGTGACTCAGTGGTAGAGCGCTTGCCTTGCATGCCTGAGGCCCTGGGTTCGATTCCTCAGCACCACATAAGCAAAAAGAAAAAAGCCAGAAGTGGCGCTGTGGCTCAAGTGGTAGAGCACTAGCCTTGAGCTGAAGAGCTGAGGGACAGTGCCCAGGCCCCGAGTTCAGGCCCCACAACCGGACCCCCCAAAAAAATCAATGCATTACTATATATGAATAAAAGGCTAGAAGGTATAATAGGGAAAAGATACCATTTATACTGTCAATTAAAACACAAGGCATTTAGGAATAAAAGGTGTGCTAGACCTTTGTAGAGTCTGATATCTGAGGATTGAGGTTTGAAGCCAGCCCAGGTAGAAAAGTCCATGACAGTCTTATGGCTAATTAACCACCAAAAATAACAGAAGTGAAGTTGTGGCTTAAGTAGTAGAGCACTAGTCTAGAGCACAAAGCTCAGAGACAGCATCCAAGTCCCTGAGTTCAACCCCCAGGACTGGCACACACGCACACACACACACACACACACACACACACACACACACACACACACACACGGAAGCAATAAAATACAGTGTGCTAAGTGTGATTGTGATGTTCAATAGCACTCATCAGATATATAGGGAAGAAAATGATGCCTCTCTCTCTCTCTGTGAACTTGAGTTCTCTAAAGATAGACATTTTTACAAGGTATTACCACATGAAAAGATGTCATTTCTACTCTCTTCAGACTTGCTTCTAGGCTTGACATCCTGTACTAAGTTTTTGTAGCACTTGGTAAAAGAGGTAGCATGGTATTTAATTTTTACTGTTCTGATATGTTCTGGCTCAGTCACTTCTGGGAATCCTTCTAAAGGGGGTAATGTGGTCTTTTAAAAAGTTCTCCTTGGGCTGGGAAGGTGGCTCAGTGGTAGAGCGCTTGCCTTGTATGCAGGAGGCCCTGGGTTCGATTCCTCAGCACCACATAAGCAGAAAAAAAAAAGCCAGAAGTGGCACTGTGGCTCAAGTGGTGAGGGACAGTACCCAGGCCCAGAGTTCAGGCCTACGACCAGACCAAAAAAAAAAGCTCTCCTCCTGGGTGCCAGTGGTTCAAGCCTATAATCATACTCAGGAGGCTGAGATCTGAGGATAGTGGTTTGAAGCCAGTCTGTGCAGAAAAGCCCATGAGTCTCTTATCTCCAATTAACCACCAGGAAACTGGAAGTGGCACTGTCACTGGAAGCGGTAGAGCACTAGCTCAGGGACAGCATCTAGGCCCTGAGTTCAAGCCCCATGACTGACAAAACTAAACTAATAGTAAAAAGCTCTCTTGCTAAAAACAGTCACTGTAAGCTGGGTACTAGTGGCTTGCACCTATAATCCTAGCTATTCAAGAGACTGATATCTGAAGAACATGGTTCAGCCTGGAAAGGAAAATCCATGAGACTCTTCTCTCCAATTAAACATCAAAAAAGCTGGAAGTGTACTCGCTAGTCATTATATTGAACATGAGCTATACAACTGTGGGTAGGGATGGGAGGGAAAAACTGGGAGAGAGCGAGGGAAGGGGTGACATTGTCCAAAAAGAAATGTACTCATTATCTGACTTATATAACTGTAACCCCTCTATATACCACCTTTACAAGAACAATAAGTGAAACTGTGGCTCAAGTGGTAGAGTGCTAGCCTTGAGCACAAAAGCTCAGGGACAGTACCCAGGTCCTGAGTTCAAGCCTCAGGATGGGCACACACACACATACAGACACAGTCACTATAGCTTTGCACACTCCATAAACAAACGAAATTACTATTTTGTTTATGCAAGTAAATTGCTTGCTCACTCACTGAATGTCCTATGTAAAATGAGATGATACCCTTTATCTCCAAAAGCTTGTATGGCACTGGGTAAGGTGTTGCAAGCATGTAGTCCCAGCTGCTCAGCAAGGCTAAGGCAAAAGAATCGCTGGAGCCCAGGAATTCAAGGCCAGTGTAGGCAACATAGCAGAACTCCCTCTCCCTCTGGAACTCTTTCCAGCACAAGACCTGGCACAACATGAATACGCTGTATAGGTTCATTTCACCTTCCCTTTCTAAATGTACTACATGGGTATAGACCTGTGAATAAATGTAAGGCTCTAGCCTCTATGGTGTTTATATTACCACAGACTGAATTCAGCCAGATGCTGTTGCTTCTTCTGCCCTTGCCATGAACACAACATTGAGGTGTCCTATTGGTGGACTGTTCTACCTTCAAGTGTCCCTTCCTTGGTGCTCACTTGCTGCCTCTCCTAGTTCCTGGATGCTCCTGCTAGAGTCTATGTGCATGGGCAGTGGAGGAGGAAGGGAAGGAAGGGGAAAGCCTTCCCCTTTGGAGCTTTGGAGGTCAGAGGTTTGGAGCTTTGCAGACCAACTATTTCCCCCAGCTATTTCAAAATGTATTTTTGTTTTGTTTTTATGGCAGTAGTAGGGCTTGAATTCAAGGCCTCATGTACTCTGGTACTCTACCACTTGAACCACACCTCCAATTCCAGCTTTTTGTTGGTTAATTGGAGATAAGAGTCTCTCAGATTTATCTGCTAGGGCACTTATGATCTCCAGAGGAGGAGACAATCCATCGAGGCACAGTGAGAGGGAACACAATTAGTTTATTTACACTATTTACACCTGAAAGGGGTCTTGAAACTATCTTGTCCTGGGCTAGATACCCAGAACCAAGAGCAGCCTCAACCCCCAAACCTCCAAGCCTCTACTAGGCAGTCCTGACCCCCCGACCTTCATTAGTTGGTCTGCAAAGCTCCAAACCTCTGACCTCCAACGCTCCAAAGGGGAAGGCTTTCCCCTTCCTTCCCTTCCTCCTCCACTGCGGGCCTCTCCATCTCCACAGGCCTGCCCTGCTCTGCTCCGGGAGGCGCCCTCCACAGGCCTCTCTAGAGGAAGGTCCCAAATGGCCTCCCGAGGAGCCCTGAATGTCCCCTCGAGGAGGCCCCGAATAGCTCCCTCGAGAAGTCCAGATGGCCTCTCGAGGCCTGCCCTGTCCCGTGCAGGCCTGCTCGGCTGGGCTCCGGCAGGCTTTCCCTCCTGCCGTCTTCTCTCCTCCACTCCTACTCCTCTCCTCCACTGTACAAACTCCGCACTAACCTCCCTCTCACCTCTCCTCAGCACTCCCGGGCTCCTCCCCTCTCCTCTCTGGACTCCCCTCCCTCCTGACTGTCTTCCCCCCAGGCCTCTGGCTTTTCTCCTACTCCCCGCCCTACATACCCTGGATAGGCTGAGCCCCTCCCCCGCTAATGGTTTCAAACTGCCATTCATGCTCCCCCCCAAGCTGCCCCACTATAATCCCCATAGGCAGCTCACCAAGTGGGCTCAACGCCCCACCACCTCCCGTAGCACGCCCCACCCATTTCGGCGGCATGCCCCACCCCTTTCTGCGGCACGGCACGCCCCTCGGGTGGCTTGGTCTGTGGAGCGGTGAGGCTCGCCTCTTGATGCCCCGCCCCCTCCAGCAGGCTGGACCACAGGGCCACACTGACTATTGGATCCCGCTGCTTATCAGGGCTCCACGGGTTATTACTGGGCTTGCTTCAAACTATGATCCCCAGATCTCAATCTCCTGAGTAGCTAGGATCGTATAACATCAGTTTCCAGTTAAATTGATTTCTTATATTGATGTAACGTGACTACAAGACTATGACCCAAAAGTGTAGAAAAATTGAGGGGAGGGGCTGGGAAGGTGGCTCAGTGGTAGAGCGCTTGCCTTGCATGCATGAGGCCCTGGGTTCGATTCCTCAGCACCACATAAGCATAAAGAAAAAGCCGGAAGTGATAAGCATAAAGAAAAAGCCGGAGGTGGCGCTGTGGCTCAAGTGGTAGAGCGCTAGCCTTGAGCTGAAGAGCTGAGGGACAGCGCCCAGGCCCAGAGTTCAGGCCCCACAACCGGACCCAAAAAAAAAAAAAAAAAGAAAAATTGAGGGGAAATAAATATAAAATAACTACTTAAAGCATTAAAAGTGCTTTTTTTTTGGTCATCCTTAGGGCTAGTTCCTGAGTCACACCCCCGGCGCCTGTGCATGCGTGCCTGCATGCGTGCGTGCGTGTGTGTGTGTGTGTGTGTGTGTGTGTGTGCGCGCGCGCTCTTTATTTTTTCAGATAGGGACTTCTGCTGTCCTCTAACACCCACAGACAGCAATCCTCCTATTTCTGACTCCCAAGTAGGTGAAATGACAGCTGTGAGCCACCACCCCCTGTGTAGGAAACATTCTTCGCCTCCAGGATTGCCCAAAAGCAAACAGCACAGGATAGTCCCCAGACCACAGTTAGTTTGTGGCTGATCTTTTACCTATAAAACCCTAGCTGATTAGGCCAAGGTTTGCTTCCCAGGACACCGCTAGCTCTGGAAGGGCCCGACTCATGGCTGCCCATTCATCACCTGTAGAGTAGATAAGTGATGGCAGAAAGCCAGCGGTTACCGGATCCACCAGAGAGTGCGCAAGCGCCGGAAAGTAGAGGCGGAACAGGACTAGAGTGGGCGTGGTTGTGGTGAGGGGCGTGGCTCACCCGCGGAGGGGGCGGGACGAGCGCCAGCTTCCGCCGGAAAAGTGCGGGAGGAAGATGGCCACTACTAAGCGTGTGTTGTACGTGGGTGAGCAGGCGCGGCCGCTAAGCGCTTTCCGAGCGACCCCGCTGCTAGTGGGTCGGGGCCGTGGGGGTCAGGGTCGTGGGGATGGGGCGGCAGTTGTCAGGGCCGGGTCTGCGAAGCAGTGCTTTGTCTGAGACACAGCGATCGAGCCTTGATTCGGGCTTCCTTCCCAGTCCGCTAAGCTCGGCGGGAACCCGGCGGAGTGCGGGGCAGTGTCAGCGTCTCCCAAACCCCGGCGCCCACTCGTTTTAGAAATGTTCACTGCAGGAAGGAGTTCCCTGACTAGTTAGGAGAAAGTGGGTCTTTGATGAGCGCTGTGGTGGGGACGGCCAGTGATGCACAGGGGCTGGAGGAGAATGACCAGTCCGTCTGGAGGGGTGAGGGTGCCGCCGAGTCTAAGAGGCAAAGGTGTGTACTGCGGGGAGCCGAGAGCCCTGAGCTGCGAACCGGCCTGACACTTGTAAGTGGCAGGTGGGTTATATTTTCAGGCTACCCGGGGAAATCAAGCAAGCAGAGCATAAGATGCTGGAAGATCTTGTGCACCTTGCTAAGGAGAAAGTTTGCACTTTTTTCTGCTAAGTCTTTGAGAGAGACCCCATAGGTTCAGAGACGTGATAGGTTCAAATGTGTGCTTTTCACCAAGATTCTTCTGATTGGCTTTGTGAGTTGAGTCAGGGAATTCAGTGATGAACCTATTGCAGGAATCCTATAGGGCTCCTTAAAGGTCTGAAGGAAGGATGGAGAGGAGTGTAAGTCGTAAGTATGGGCAAGGAGTAGATAAGAGGGAGCTGTTTTTGTGGCCAAAGGACTGGATGCAAAGATCCCTTCCTTTGGCCAGCATGGGACCTGGCAATGGGTACTTTGTTTAGTATCCAGGGCAGTAACTGAGAAGGCCATCCTCTCTGCGTATGTGTAGGTGGTCTGGCAGAAGAAGTGGACGACAAAGTTCTTCATGCTGCATTTATTCCTTTTGGAGACATCACAGATATTCAGATTCCTCTTGATTATGAAACAGGTGCGTTCTTTGAATGTGTCTTACGTGAGTGAGGCAGCAGGAAAGCCTGTTTTAAAAATTATATATATACATATAATATATAAACAAATATGTATATATTTGTATATATGTATATAAGTCCTGGGGCTTGAACTCAGGGCCTGGGCATTGTCCCTGAACTTCTTTTGTTCAATGTTAGCACTCTACCACTTGAGACACAGTGCCACTTCTGGCTTTTTTTTGTGTATGTGGTACTGAGGAGTCGAACCCAGGCTTTTATGTAGGCTAGGCAAGCACTCTACCACTAAGCCACATTCCCAGCCCTATATTGACTTTCTAAGGGCCCTTTTGTGTCTGAGTTCTAAAATTAATATTGTGACTGACCTCTGTAGTCAGAATGGCATTTACCTGAGGGTAAAACTGAACATCTTTATTAAGTTTTATGATTCATGTTTTATGCACACTTGATATTCAAATTATTTATTTGCTTGGTGTCTTTTTGTTGTTGTTTATACTGGGACTTGTACTCCTGGGTCTCTCACTTTTTCAATCACTGCTGGTACTCTACCACCTGAGCCATGCTTCCACTCCTGGCTTTTTGCTGATTAATTGGAGATATGAGTCTCTCAGGTTTGTGCTCTGAACTATTGTCCTCAAATCTCAAGTCTCCTGAACAGCTAAGATCAGCACCCAGCTAGCTTGCTTGTTTTCTGTCTGTCTCTCTGTTTTTCTCTCTCTGTCTTGCTTCCTTTCTTGTTTCTTATTATCTGTAAGTAGTTGTACAAAGGGGTTTTATTCAACAATTCATGGGTTCAATGCAGTATGTCAGTTTATGAGTATAATGCATCTGATCGATGTCCTTTTTTTTCTTTTGAGACAGTCTTTCTATAGTGCCTAGGCTGGCATCAAACTGGCAATCCTTCTGCCAGCTGGTATTATAGGTGCACACCACTATGTCCAGCTTCACATTGTATATTTAAATGAATAATTGGTTAGTTAAATTAAGACTTTATTTTTCTAGTTGTCTGACATGTGAATGTTGAAGTTTTAAATTTGGCTTTACTAGGAGAATTGAATGCTCATTTTTAAAATGAAAAATACAGTTGATATTTAGCTCTGCCTATGAAAATGTTTATTATTGCTTAAGATGTTAAGAGGACTCAGAGTGGCTGGGAAGTTGGCTCAGTGGTAGAGTGCTTGCCTTGCATACATGAGGCCCTGGGTTCAATTCCTCAGCACCACATAAGCAGAAAAAGCCAGAAGTGGCGCTGTGGCTCAAGTGGTAGAGTGCTAGCCTTGAGCTGAAGAGCGGAGGGACAGTCCCCCAGGCCAGAGTTCAGGCTCCATGACCGACGCGGGGGGTGGGAGGGTTGGGGGGGGGAAGAGGACTCAAAGAATGAGATTCCTAAAATGTTATTGGGTAGAATTTCTGCTATTTGAATCTGACATGTAACTGACTTTATTTTGTGATCTTCTGCTTCTTCTCATTGCCTCTAATCACTTGTTTTGTTTTTCTTTTTTCAGAAAAGCACCGAGGATTTGCTTTTGTTGAATTTGAGTTGGCAGAAGTGAGAAAATTCTGTTTTATATTTGTGTGTGTGTGTGTGTGTGTGTGTGTGTGTGTGTGTGTGTGTTCCTATGGCTTGAACTCAGTGCCTTGGTGTTTACCCTGAGCTTTTTTTTTCTCAAGGCTAGAGCTCTATCATTTAAGCCATAACTCCACTTCTGGGGTTTTGGGTTGTTTTGTGTGTATGTGTGTGTGTGTGTGTGTTTTTCTTTTGGTGGTTAATGTCATGGACTTTCTTTCCTTGACTGGCTTCATATTGGGATCCTTAAATCTCAGCCTTTTGAGTCACTAGGATTACAGGCATGAGCCATTAGTACTGTGCTTATCTGTACTACCTTTGTTTAATCTATGGTTTGTGTTGTTATTGATTACAAAGGAAACTCTTCTCTGTTTGGTTTAGTTTCTGGGTATTAGGCTGAGGCTTTCAGATGGCCAGAAGAACTGTTTAAAGGAAAGCATCCCTCACTTTATCTTACAAGACTGAATAATGCCTTAGACCTTCTAACAGACCTGCCCATCTTACCTCTGTAGAGCTCCTACAGTGCTGTTTATTGAAAAATTTTGGCTGGTAGTGCTGGTGATTATTTATTGTGCCTTTAACTAGAGAGCAAATGACAGGATCACTAGCTCAAATATCAGTCAGGCAAGCACTCTTTTTGTTAATCACACAAACAGAATCTAGGCAAGCAGAGGTTTTGCTAATGAGTGTATGTATGTTTAGCAGTCAGCTACAAACCTAAACTTACAGCTTTTTGTCTTTTTTTGGCAGGATGCTGCAGCAGCTATTGACAACATGGTATGGTATGGCTGGGAAGCCTTATTCAACTGAAGTTGTTTTTGTTTTTGGTTTGTTTTTTTTGGGGGGGGTCCGGTCGAGGGGCCTGAACTCTGGGCCTGGGCGCTGTCTCTCAGCTCTTCAGCTCAAGGCTAGCGCTCTACCACTTGAGCCACAGCGCCACTTCCGACTTTTTTCTTTTTGCTTATGTGGTGCTGAGGAATCGAACCCAGGGCCTCAGGCATGCAAGGCAAGCGCTCTACCACTCAGCTACCTTCCCAGCCCCCTGAAGTTGTTTTTGGTGATATACATGTTCCTCACTTTCTCTCCCTCTCTGTTTCATTATCTGTAGACTGTTAGTTTCTGTAATCAAACCTAAATAGATAAGACCTTTCATGTAGTGTGTTACCCCTGTACAAATGGATAAAAACAAAACCAAACGTTTCTAGACTAATATAATCTTAATTTCTGTACAATGCCAACTCAACACCATAAACAAGTATACTTCTTTCTCCAAAATGAAAACACAGCTAGCTAAAATTTCCAAATATTCAAAATATACATTTGTATAAAAAAAATCACCAACAGTAATAGCAGTATGTTATACATCAAAAGCAGCAGTAGCAGCCAGGTGCTGGTGGCTCATGCCTGTAAACCTAGCCACTCAGGAGGCTGTGATCTGAGGATTGCATTTCAGATCCAGCCTGGCAGGAATGTCTGTGAGACTCATCTCCAATTAACCACCAAAAAGCCAGAAGTGGGGCTGTGGTTCAAGTGGTATAGCACTAATCTTGAGCACAAAAGCCCAGGGATGGTGCCCAAACCCAGAGTTCCAGCCCCAGATCCAGAAAAAAAAAAAGGAGCAGCAGTAGCTTTTCCAGGTGCTATCTGAACAAACTTGTAGTAAAGATACTCAGCACACTCCACTTCTTCCCCCTAGTCCTGGAGCTTGAACTCAGGGCCTGATCACTAACCCTAAGCTTCTTTTTGCTGAAGGCTAGCACACTACCACTTGAACCATAGTGCTACTTCTGGCTTTTTCTGTTTATGTGGTGCTAAAGAATTGAACCCAGGGCTTCATGCATGCTAGATAAGCACTCTAGCGCTAAGCCACATTCCTAGCCCCTCCAGTTTTTTAAAAAGGAAAAAAAAAAACCAATATTCCAGAAAACAGCAACAGTCTGTTAGTTTCCATATCTGACTTTTTTTGGTTGTTTAGTATCTTAAAAGTATTCTGTGCCATGCCTTCAGCCCTTTTTTGCACTTTTTGTTTGTTTGTTTTGTTGTTTGGTTTGTTTGATAGTACTAGGGTTTTGAACTCAAGGTCTCATGTGTACTAGGTAGGCATTCTGCTTCAGAGCCACACTCCAGCACTGCTTTTCATGGTTATTTTGTGTGTGTGTGTGTGTGTGTGTGTGTGTGTGTGTGTGTGTGTGCTTTTCATGGTGTGTGTGTGTGTGTGTGTGTGTGTGTGTGTCCTGAGCTTAAATTCAGGGCCCGCGCACTGTCCCTGAGCTTCTTTAGCTCAAGGCTAGCATTCTGCCACTTGAGCCACAAATCCACTTCTGGCTTTTTGGGTGATTAATTAACAATAAGAGACTCACAGACTTAACAAGGCCCAGGCTGGCTTTGAAGTGAGATCCTTAGATTTCAGCCTTCTGAGTAGCTAGGATTACAGACATGAGCCAGCTTTGCCTGGCTGGTTACTTTTAAGATAGATAGTTTCACTTTCTGCTTGGGCATGGATCCTAGACTGTGATCTACCTATTTTAGTCTTTTTGGCCTTGCTAGGATGATAGGTAGGTGCAACTGTGGTCTGCTTGTCCTTTTGTTGAGATGAAGTTTGGTGGACTTTTCTACCTAGATTATCCCAGAACCACAGCCCTCCAGTTCTTCACCTCCCAAGTAGCTAGGATTATAGGTGTGAGCCACTGGTACACAGCTTTCACTGATGGGTTGTTTTGGGGTTTTTTTTGTTTTGTTTTTTGTCAGTTATAGATCCTGAGTGCTGTCCCTCACCTCTTCAGCTCAAGGCTAGCACTTGAGCCACAGTTCCACTTCCGGTTTTCTGGTGGTTTTATTGGAGATTAGAGTTTCACAGCTTTTCCTGCCTGGACTGGCTTTGAACCACAATCTTCAGATCTCAGCCTCCTAAGTAGCTAGGATTAAAGGTGTGAGCCACTGGCGCCTGGCTCACTGGTTATTTTGAGATAGGGTTTTGCTTTTGACCCAGGTGGCCCAGGATTGTGATCTCCTATTTAACACTTCTCACCATATCTGGGATGTCAGATGTGCTATTGGTTGAGAAAGGAGTCTCCTGAACTTTTGCACCAGCTAGTCTCAAACTATGATCTTCCTGATCTCAGCCTCTCAGGTAGCTAGTATAAATATTTTTTCCACTTTTTACCATGAAGTTTTTATAATTTCTTTAAGGGTATTCATATTAAGTTATCTATCCCAATGCCAGTTATCTTTGGATAAGGAAGTTCTTTATTCCTTGTTCTCTATTACCTGTTCATCAAACATGTTCCTTTGCTGTCAGAGAGAAATCATGTTTCATTAATTCAAAGCTGATCTTGGCTTTTTTTTTTTATTTACATGTTTTATTTGGAAATGTTTATACCAGAACAGTGAAATTAAACTTTAGAGACAATGGATATCATTAGCTTAGTTACCATCAGTTTATTATAAAAGGGAGATATGGAAATTATTTATATGATGAAAGATCTCAGAACTTCCATGGAATGGGCAGCTTCACAGGATGCCATTTTAGTGATGTATTCACTCTACATACTTCCCAAGAATGTCACCATCCCTAAATAAGAAATAATCCTTGTCATCTAGAACTACTTTTGTGCCTCCATATTCTGGGAGAAGAACTTTATCACCCACTTTCACACTAACTGGCCGAATCTCTCCACCCTTTCCTTTAGAGCCCGATCCCACAGCCACTACTGTGGCTGGCAATACTTTTCCTTGAGACTTTTCTGGAAGCATAATGCCTCCTTTGGTCACAGTTTCAGCTGCACTCCTTTCGACCAGCACTCGGTCAAACAGAGGCATGAACTTCCTAAATGCTTGTCCGGCCATGACTCTCCGCGGTCGCCACTCGGACTCTGCTCTCACGCTGACGGCGAGCTCTGGAGGACGGAAGGAAAGGGAGCTCTTTCTAGGCTTTTCTAGGCAGCCCGCCGAGGTGAAAGCGCTACCCCTTCGTCCCCTTTCCGGAAGTCTGATCTTGGCTTTTGAAGGTGAACTCAGGTTCTAGGAAACTACATTTATTCTTGTAATTTTAAGTCGCTTGAATCTAAGTTGGTAGGCAGACCTTTGCTGGTGTTGACAGATAGGAAGTATATGACCATTTAAGGGAAGAAATGACCTGCAGATTCCTCTCAAGAGCTGCCTTGTGGTGAGGACAGAACTTTTGCTGGGGACTTGGACTAAGGGAGGAGAAACCAAGAACATGGCTCAAAAATAAAGAGCTTTCTGGCTCTTTAACTTGACAGTTTAAGCAGCGGCATTTTTGATCTTTCAGAATGAATCTGAGCTCTTTGGACGGACAATTCGTGTCAATTTGGCTAAACCAATGAGAATTAAGGAGGGCTCTTCCAGACCGGGTAAGAAGAGCCCCTTGGATTTCTGTCATGTCCTCCAGTTTGGCTTCCATGCATTGTTACCTCTATATATCTAAATGCAAATAATGTCTATTATGAGAAAAATCCTTCCTAATCCTCTTATCTTTTCTATTTCCTTAAGTGCTCTGTTCCTGTGAAAGGGCTGTTCGTTGGGGTGTTCTCAAAGGGGATGCCTGTGGCCTAGAGCTCTAGTGACATCTTCCAGGTGGAGGTGACTGAGCAGAGTATCTCCTTAGCATTTGGCTGATATGTTGAATTTCCTAACTTTTGTTCAACTCTTCCCGTTTAGTTTGGTCAGATGATGACTGGTTGAAGAAATTCTCTGGGAAGACTCTTGAAGAGAATAAAGAGGAAGAGGGGTCCGAACCTCCCAAAGCTGAAACCCAGGAGGTGAGAACAAAAGCTGCTGTTTAGGCCAGGTGCCAGTGGCTCACGCCTGTAATACTAGCTACACAGGAAGCTGCAATCTGAGGATTGCGGTTCAAAGCCAGCCTGGGCAGGAAAGTTTGTGAGGCTCTTATCGCCAATAAACCACCAGAAAACCGGAAATGGCGCTGTTTGTCAAGTGGTAGAGCACTAGCCTTGAGCTGAAGAGCTGAGGGACAGCGCCCAGGGCCTGCTTTAAAAAAAAACAAACTACTGCTTCTGGAGGAGGCCTAGTGCCTAGGTTTTTATGGAATTTGTTTATCTTTGCAAGAAAACAGAAAGGATAGATATTGAATATAGTCCTTTGACAAAGGCTGTGTTGAGTGAATGAAAAGGAGAAAGAAGCTTTGGGTTTTCTTGTGTTCTTCTCAGGCCGGGACTTGACTTGGCTGATAGGAACCTGATTATTCCTCACACCACTGCACAGAGGATTTTGGTACCAGGCTCTCTGTCCTCTGTTCTTGCCTTGTGCAGAGGATACAGGACAGTGTTGGTAGCTTCCCTTCAACCTGTGCATGGATTCAGGCTTCTCTCCTCCTAGGAGAACATTGCCCTGGACTTTTTCCTTATTCTTAGCATACCTCCCTGACTAGCGCAGTGTGGGCTTCCCTTCTGCATACTTTGTGAGCAGTCTTCTTCTCTGCTTTATCTTTATCTTTCAACATTTTTCTCCTTCAGTTAAAAGTCTCAGTCCATGTTGGATTGTACAAGCTCCTGTGCTGCACTGGTGACTTTCATGGTCTCTGTTCCTAACACTGAACTTCACATATTTCTGCCTATAAGTTGATGGTGACTTCAAGTTGCCTGGAATGGATCCCCACCTTCTCTGATTGTGACTTCCCATATTCTCAACTTTGGTTACTTTGCCACCATCCATGCACATTTTGACCTAAGCCAGAAATTGAGAGGCCTTGTGTGGCCCTCAAAGTCAGTAGAAGCCCTTGGGTTCTTCTAGACCCTGCAAGGTAGAGCCGGCACAGCATGTCATTTGGATAAATTGCAGCCGCTTCCTAGCTTGCCTCTGGATGCAGTCTTTCCTAAAGAGAGCTAGAATGAGCTTTCTGAGACACCACTCTAGTCATTAACAGTCTCGTCAGAACTTTTCACCTCTCCCATCATTTCTCTCATGGGGCCTAGACCGGAAAGGACTCTCCAGTTCTTGATCCTGTGTCTCCCTTCCCATCTCCCTCACCACAGTCCCCTTCTGCAATGCTTAGTAAAATAATCCTTTGTATTTCTTTGTTCAGTCTTTGCTTTTGTACGAACTACATGGATTTCAGTTGCCCTTCCTTTTCTGGGAAGTAAATTCTGTGAAGTTAGGGGCCTTATGTTCACTTGTTAATACAGATGTGAGGTAGAGTATATGATGAACAGCATGGACTTGAGGAGGAAGGTTCTAGTTACCACCCTTGTTATACAATAAGTGCTGTGAGTGTGGCTGCTGCTGTGTTTGAGGGCAGACAGCAGTAGTAGTACCTAAGCCAGTGAAGCCTCCACATGTACTTGGTCAGCTGAAGCAAAAACAAGATAACATCTAGCTTTGCTCTTCAAATAGATGTCTTGATTATATTAGATTTCTCTTGATTCTCTGCTTAGTCTTACCTACTTAGAGCATAAAGCGAAGCCGGGGCCTCTATTGTACTCCGAGCAGTTGGGCCACAGCACAAAGGCTCCCCCTTGTTTCCATACCATGTGACAGTACTGCTGGCCATGGAGGGGGTAGTGCAGGCGTATCTGCTTATTGGAGTAGAGTGTGGCCTAGACCTGGGGATGAAGATGGGGAGGTTAAATATTCTGGGCCAGTTGTAGGACAGAGAGAAGTAAGCTGGTGCGTCTCTGAGAGTGAGCAGGGGCGGGGGGGGGGGGGCACACCTGTAGGTGGGCCCCCTGTTAGATAGTGTTAAGGTCTGTCGCCTGGGTAGTGTGCAGCTGGGCTGTCAGGGCCACAGCCTTCCCTATCAGGACCTTCGTCTGGCCTGTTCAGTAGTGTTCTGAGAGTGTGCAGAACACATGCTTCTACTTGAGGAGTTGGGAGTTTCCTCTAACCAGCAGTTTCCTCTGCACCTAGGGAGAGCCCGCTGCAAAAAAGGCCCGGTCAAATCCTCAGGTGTACATGGACATCAAGATTGGGAACAAGCCAGCTGGCCGCATCCAGATGCTCCTGCGTTCCGATGTGGTACCCATGACAGCAGGTAAGGAGGGGCCTGCAGTCTGGTTGGTGGGAAGCTGGTGGCTGAGTAATGTTTCTGACCTAATGCTTCTGATACATCTCACATCCTGATAACTAGTAATAGATGAGTCAAAGCAGGCATTTTTGAAGCTTTATAAGCTTCATAATAATCATAATTTAATAACAATTCAAGTAAATAAGATGGTCGTGGTTAAAGTAATACTACACATATGTATTCCAACAATATGGCACTGCACTCATTGAAAAATATATGTTTCTGCACTCCAAAAGTTACATGTGGGGCTGGGAATGTGGTAGAGTGCTTGCCTAGCATGTTTAATTCCTCAGTACCACATAAACAGAAAAAGCTGGAAATGGTGCTGTGGCTCAAGTGGTAGAATACTAGCCTTGAGCAAAAGAAGCTCAAGGATAGTGCCCAGGCCCTAAGTTCAAGGCCCAGGACTGGCAAAAACAAACAAAAAAATAGGGGCTGGGAAGGTGGCTCAGCGGTAGAGTGCTTGCCTCCCATGCATGAGGCCCTGGGTTTGATTCCTCAGCACCACATAAACAGAAAAGGCCGGAAGTAGCACTGTGGCTCAAGTAGTAGAGTGCTAGCCTTGAGCTAAAGAGCTCAGGGACAGCACCCAGGCATAGAGTTCAAGCCCCACGACTGACCGAAAAAACCAAAAACCAAAAAAAAAAGTTACATATTGTTTCTTGAGTATCCTGTCTAGGTGTTTTTTTGTTGGTTGGTTGGTTGGTTGGTTTTTCCTGGTCCTGGGGCTTGAACTAGAGGCCTGGGTGCTGTCCCTGAGCTTCTTTGTGCTATTACTAGAGCCACAGTTCTACTTCTGGCTTTTTCTGGGTAGTTTATTGGAGATAAGAGTCTCATAGGCTTTGCTGCCTGGACTGACTTTGAACCACAATCCTCAAATCTCAGCCTCCTGAGAGCTAGGATTATAGGCATGAGCCACTGGTGCTGGCTCCTTTCTAGTTTTTAAGTGCTGGCGTGAATTTATTGTTTTTTATGTAAATTTTACTACTTACATATATGATTAAAGAGAGTATCACAAAACTTATTTTAAGAAAACATCAGACTAGGCGCCCGTGGCTCATACCTGTAGTCCTAGCTACTCAGGAAGCTGAGATCTGAGGATCATGGTTAGAAGTCAGCTGCAGCTGAGAAGTCCATGAGACTCTTATCTCCAGTCAACCACTAAAAAGCCAGAAGTGAAACTGTGGCTCAAGTGGTAGAGCACTGGCCTTCAGCAAAAAAGCACAGAGATAACATCCAGGCCCTGAGTTCAAGCTCTAGGACCAGCACAAAACCAAACAAACAGAATACTTTGCTACCACTTTAGTGTTTTTTGGAGAGGCGGCAGAGCTAGAGTGCACATATTTAGTCTTCCTTCTTTAATCAGTATGCCCTGTTGTCCTTTAGGAGATCAGCATCACTTACGTTTACATGAGCATCTCTTGTTTAGAGTGAAAATACATCTAGCCTCCCCATCCTTGGGTTCCACTGTGTGGATTCAATCAGCCACAGGTCAAAAATATTTGGAGGAAAAATTGCAGCTAGGGCTGGCATGTGGATCAGTGGCAAAGCACTTGTCTAGCAAATAGAGTGCCCTGGGTTTGTTCCTCAGTACCAAAAAAGAAAAGACAAAAAAATTATATCTGTGCTGAACATGTTTGAACTTTTTTCCTTGTTGTTATTCTCTAGACAGTGTGGTGTAACAAGTACTCCTTATATCGCATTTACATACTGTAAGGTATTGTAAGTCATCTAGAGATTATATAAAATATAGGAAGATAATGCCAGGCACAAGTGGCTCATGCCTCTAGTCCTAGCTACTCAGAAGGCTGACAGCTGAGGATCATGATTCAAAGCTGGGGCTTGCTTTCCTTAGTCTAAGCCTTTTATCTCCAATTAAGCACCAAAAAATCAGAAGTAGAGCTGTTTACTTATATGTAGATAGATAGATAGATAGATAGATAGATAGATAGATAGATAGATAGATAGATAGATAGATAGATATACACATATATGTCTAAATATGCATATCTGTATATATACATATATATGAAGATATTTATAATGTACATAGGTTAAAAGGGACTTTTGCAAACCAATATGGATACCTGTATGGATAACAAGGACAACTGTACAAACACTAAACAAAACACTCCTTTTCAGAGGTTTTGTTTCTTCATTTGTTTTATCTTTTAACCTTCGCACCCTTTCCTCTCCCACCCTCAGAGAACTTCCGCTGCCTGTGCACCCATGAGAAGGGCTTTGGCTTCAAGGGGAGCAGCTTCCACCGCATCATCCCCCAGTTCATGTGCCAGGGCGGTGATTTCACAAACCACAACGGCACTGGGGGCAAGTCCATCTATGGGAAGAAGTTTGATGATGAAAACTTTATCCTCAAACACACTGGACCAGGTAGCTGCTAATTGGGCTGTGGCAATGAATGACGCTGAGCCTGGGCCTGGGGCTGGGCAGAGTGGCAGCGCAGGCTGGAAGGACGGAGAGTGGTTCTGGCAGAAGGACAGGGGTTGGGGAGAGCAAACTGCTGAACAGAAGAGAAACATTCACTCTAGCTGGGGTGCATTCACTTGTAATGACCATGTAATCATATACTCCCCATTCTCCTACCCCACCGTGTCAGTCAATACTCACTGATAGCTTAGCTTAGATTCTGTGGTCTGCCATCAAAAGTTTTGTCTTATACTCTCACCCTCTCTGGCATCCCATCTTCTTTATCTAGTAAAATCTCAGGGCTCGCCTTCTCCCCACAACTTGAGACAAAATTGTACTATGTCCCCCCACTTGTTGCTATGGATCTGATCAGAATGCCCTTGTTGATGCTCAGTTCCAATCGGAGATGATGATCCTCCCCATTTTCACACCTGAGGTCTCTGATCACCCCCCTGCCTCATCCTCTAGCTGTCTCTCCTGCTTCTCCACACATGCACACTCCTGTTTCTGGCTTCTGCTCTTCCCCTCCATCTGTGGACAGCCATCCCTCTCCCCTGCTTGGAACCTGGTTGCTTCAGTGTCCTCCTCTGCTTTGTATAATATTTACCTTGCTCTGCTGGATTGCCCATCAGCTTACAAGGATGTGCTATCGATCCTTTTTTTTTTTTTTTTTTCGTCAGTCATGGGGCTTGAACTCTGGGCCTGGGTACTGTCCCTCAGCTCTTCAGCTCAAAGCCAGACTTGAGCCACAGCTACCACTTCCAGTTTTCTGGCAGTTAATTGGAGATAAGAGTCTCACAGACTTCTCTGCCTGGGCTGCCTTTGAACCACAATCCTCAGATCTCAGCCTCCTGAATAGCTAGGATTACAGGCGTGAGCCACCAGCACCTGGCGCTATCAGGTACTGGTGGCTCATACCTATAATCCCAATCAGGGTTCAAAGTCAACACAAGCAGACAAACCTGAGAGAGTCTTATCTGTGGTTAACCAGCAAAAAGCTGAAAGTGCAGGTATATGTCCAAGTGGTAGAAGCAGCAAAAAATCTGAGCAAGAGTATTAGGTCCTGAGTCCGAAATAGCAATTTGCTGAATGAATGAGTGAGTGAGTATGAAATGATTAAAACAGCCCTGCTCATCCTATTAGATGAAATGGCACATCTGCCCAGTCTGTGCATTCTAGAGCATGAGCCTGCCTGCAGAGGGCTGTCTGTCTACAGTCTGCTCAGGCTTTGAGGGCTGGAGCAGGGTGGAGGGAACTGACAAGGTCCTTCTCTCCCCAGGCCTCCTCTCCATGGCCAATTCTGGCCCAAACACCAATGGCTCCCAGTTCTTCCTGACCTGTGACAAGACAGATTGGTTGGATGGGAAGCATGTGGTATTTGGGGAGGTCACTGAAGGCCTGGATGTCTTACGGCAGATTGAGGTAGGTGGCCCAAACTGGCCTGTCTTCAATTGTCCCTTGGTACATGCCCCTGTAGGACACTGGAGAGGGCTCTAGCCAGGAAAGAGCTAACCCACTCTTTGTTCCCTGACTTTTCTTCCACTTTGCTTGCAAAGGCCCAGGGCAGCAAGGACGGGAAGCCAAAGCAGAAGGTGATCATTGCTGACTGTGGGGAGTACATGTGAGATGGTGTGCTCCGCCTCTCTCTGCAACTGCCCCTGCGTGTCCCGGAAGGAACCAGCACTCGGGGCGCTCTGTGCAGCAAGCTGTGTTACAGCCGAGCCCTTCTATAGTGTGGGCTTTCTCAGGAGCAGCTCCTCTGCAGCATGGCCTGGACCCCCTTCATCTGCTGTCTGTCCTAGGTGTCAGGGCCTGTCCTGGGCCACCTGAGGCTCCTGGGTGGTTTCTTTGGTAAAAAATAAATCCTAGTTTTTTATACTGTGGCCTTCAGGGAGTTCCTGAAACTTGTCAACAGAGAACACATCACATCCATGGCTAAGCTGTTTCCTAGAGACAGGCTATTGAGGGGGTGTGGCATGGTGCCTTCCCCTACAGCTTTAGTTTCCTCCCTGGGGCCAGCAGTTTCCTTGATGCTGGGTGATTAGACCAGCTCAGGACTTGGGAATTCAGTATAAAAGTTGTCTCTGCTCCTAAAGGCATGCTAAGAGTTTTATGGCCAGTGTATTGATTGGCCTCTGCTTCCTGTCACTATCAGTCTACAGGCTTTTTGTTTTAGGCAGTATTAGAGTTTGAACTCAGGGCCTCGCACTTGCTAGGCATGTGCTCTACTGCTGAGCTATATCTCCAGCCCTTTTTTGCACTGGTTATTTTTGAGAGATGGTCTCATTTCTTGTTCAGGAGTGGGACCTAGACCTAATTTTCATATTTGAGACTTCTCACCATGGTTAGATGACTAGTTTATGCCGCCATGGCACCCAGCTTCTTCCATTTATAAGAGATCTCATGAATTTTCTGCCCAGGCTAGCCTGGAATCACAATCCTCCTGATTTTAGCCTCCTAAATAGCTGGGATTGGACTGGGAATGTGGCTTAGTGGTAGAGTGCTTGCCTAGCATGCGTGAAGCATTGGTTTCGATTCCTCTGTACCACATAAACAGAAAAAAGCCATAAGTAGCACTGTGGTAGAGTAGCTCAAGTGGTAGAGTGCTAGCCTTGAACAAAAGAAGCTCAGGGACAGTGCCCAGGCTGAATTCAAGCCTCAGGACTGGCAAAAAAAAAAAAAAGCTGGGATTGCACCCACTAGCATCTATCAGGTATATAAGCTTTTAGATATTTTATGACTATAAAGTGCCTTCTCTGCCTTTTTACCAGGAACCAGGAGGCCAGCAAACTACCAGAGCCTGTTTTTTGTTAATAAAGTCTAGTTAGGCCTCAGCCACATTCAGTTGTTTGCACATATCTATGGTTGCTTTCTCGCTACAAAGCAGAGTTGAGTAGTTGATGACTGCCACTGTAGGGACCCTGTGGGGGTGGGGGTAGACAGAGACAAAGATTTAAGTAACTGGCTGGCTCCTGCAGCAAGTCTGAAATCTGAGAGCAGTCAGCAGGCCAGGGGGTGGGAGGAGGTGATGCCATTGCCATCCACAGTCTAGAGCAGAGTTCCTCTGGTGATTGTAGTCATCTTCCTCACAGGACTTTACACTCACCTTATAGAATACAAATATTAATCCATCTAAAAACTACCTTCACAGCATCATCCAGGTGGCGTTTGACTATACTGGGTACCATGGTGTGGTAAAATTGACCCTGCTAATATTAGCCTTTTGTGAACAGAGGTCAGCCTCAGATGACAGTCACCAGCTGTAAGATAAGCATATGGAGCTTGGGACCATAGCACTGACCAGGGCTTTTATAAGAGTTTAAGAGCAAAGTGCTAATGGCTCATACTTGTAATCTTAGCTACTCAGGAGGCTAAGATCTGAGGATCATGGCTCATAGCCAGCCCTGGTAAGAGAGTCTGTGAGACATTTACCTCCAATTAACCACTAAAAAGCTAGACGTGTTGCTTTTGCTCAAGTGGTAGAGTTCCAGCTTTAAGCAGAAAAGATAAGAAACAGAGCCCAGGCCCTAAGTTCAAGTGCACCAGAAAGTAAAACAAAGCAAAAACCTGCGAGGATGTGTATAAAGAGGTTAGCACAGCCAGCCCCCTATGAGTGATGGTGTCCTGTGATGCTGATCAATCACTGTTCATCTTGTAGCCTTGGGAGGTGAGAGGCCTGTGGATAGTTCCAACAATCTGCCAAATTAGAGCCATTGATGGTTCTTCCTCTTTCAGAGTTTGAGTGTCCATAGATTGAATCATACTGAAACCTTTCACAGGTAAAGATCATACAGAATGGTGAGCAGAACCCATGTAAAAGTTTAGCCTGCCCCCTTGTCAGTGGCAGTGAGTCCTGGGAGACTTAGTGGGCTCAGCCTCAATATGTTGGGGGTTTGTGGACCACAATCTGCTACAGGATAGTTGTGACCCAAGGCCCTGGGGGGGAGACATGGTAATGGTCTCCATAGTTCCTTGGACCCTTAGTGGGTAGCTAGGAACATATCCTACTCTTCCAGGAAGGAGGGAAGAGGGGCCCTAGAGCCTGGAGAACATCCTGGCCCAGCAGCCTGGCTGCCTCTGCTGCTGACACACCAGCCCCTATTGTTTCTGAAGGGATTCACCCATTTGGGCAGTGGATCCAGGAGCACCAGGGTAGGTCTGAAGGGCAAAGCTGCTTCCCCTGGGCCTGCTTGCTTCCTGTCCCAGGTTCTTCCCATCAGCACTCCCACTGCGCCAATGCCACTACTGAGGGCCCTGGCTCTGCTTTGTGCACTCATATAGTTGGACCTTGTAGGGTGCCTCTGCCCAGCCTGTGATGGCTGGACCAAGGCAGAGACCAGAGACTGCTAGTGGCTCCTCTCAAGTGATGACTGTCTCCAACTCTGCTGTATCCAGCTCAGTCAATGCAGCCTTAGCAACCCTGTGAGGGAGAAATGGGACCATGGACAAAAGTTTCAGCAGTACAGAGTCTAGGTGGTGGGAAACTAGATAGGCATGTTTTCAAAAAAGTATTTATTAACAGGGCAGTTTTCACCCTATAGTAAGCAGAAAAGTCCCATCAGAAACAACTCATATGGTATGGTATCCCAGGTTTATGAAAATGATCTCTAATTTGTCAACATACTTTAGAGAAATCAGCCTTGAACTAAGTTGATCAACATATTAATGGTGATTTTAATTACATTTTTTTTGTATTATCCACTTCCAAAACCATTTTTTTTTCCAGTCAGTACTTGGCTTTAACTTAGGGCCTTGTAATTGCTAGTAGGTACTCTTACCACTTGAGCCATGCTCTCAGACTTCAATTTTTTTTTTCAAAAAAATGTAAAAAGCAGGGCTGATAGGAAGGGGCGGGGGGAAATGGGAGAGGGAATGGGGAGCAAATATGTGACAATACTCAATGTACATATGTGAAAAAGGAGGGGATGGGAGATAGATGGCAGGGTGTTGATCAAAAAGCACCGGACAGCGGGCGCTGGTGGCTCACGCCTGTAATCCTAGCTACTCAGGAGGCTGAGATCTGAGGATCGCGGTTCAAAGCCAGCCCGGGCAGAAGAGACCGTGAGACTCCTATCTCCAATAAACCACCAGAAAACCGGAAGTGGCGCTGTAGCTCAAGTGGTAGAGCGCTCGCCTTGAGCTGAAGAGCTGAGGGACAGCGCCCAGGCCCAGAGTTCAAGCCCCACGACCAACAAAAAAAAAACCAAAAAAACAAAAAGCACCGGACACATAAATGGACATGTTAAATTGTAGCCCCCTTTTACAACCATTGGAAGATTTAAAATGAAAATACTAATAAAAGTGGGTCAAGTGTTCATGTAAGGTCTATTTTTATTACTGGTAGAACCCTGAATGAGCAGTTGCCCCATTCAGATTGCGATGGTGGGATCTCGCATTTGTCCTTCAGCAGATGTAGGTCTCAATGTCTGGGAACACAGGATTGAAGGCTCACAGCCCAGCTACCACCTTCTGACTAGATACCTGCCAGGTCTTTAAAGGTGGTTAGAAGGCAAGTCCTGCTCTCAAGGAATGCAGTGTGCAGAGTTTTCTGAAAAAGAACATCACTTGCACATCACATTTTTGTACAGAAGTGGCTCAAAATGAGAAGATCTACTTGTAGTGATAACAGGTACCACTTGTTAATTATTTATATGCCAGGCATCCTAAATGTTTGTAGGTATCTAATTTTTATAGTTCTGCAGAGGAAGAAGCCAAGGTTGGACTCACATCCATTTGCTACTACACTGTTTTCCTATTTCATAAGAATTTTTCAGAAACATTGTTTTCTTTCCTTAGTAGACTGAGGCAACTAAGCTGGATGCTGGTGGCTCATGCCTATAATCCTCGCTACTCAGGACTCAGACCTGAGGATCAAGGTTCACAGCCAACTTGTGGGTAGACAAATCCAAGAGGCTCTTAGCTCCCAATTAACTAGCAAAAAGGTGGAAGTGAAGGTATGGCTCAAGTGGTAGAGATCCAGCTGTGAACAAAAAAAAAATTATTGGCAGGCACGTGCGTGCATGTGTGCACACACACATGCGCGCACACACACAAAGATAGTGAATACTAATCCTCTGGTGTGTGACCTGAGGCCAGTATTGACAGCATTTACACTGCTATATTTTGTGTCTTCCTTTTCTGACAATTGTCACTGATTTCTCACTGCTCTCAGTAGGTCTGAACTGAACACCTTTATTTTACTTCCTCCTCTGGGACAACCAGTTATATAAACAGGCCCTCTCCCAAATGAAAGGGGAAATGGCACTGTCACAGTGTTGTCAGCTAAGACACCCATTTGCTGTGCATAGCCCAGCAAATAGGAAACTTCTTGAAAAATAGTTGTGTTCATTCACAACTGTTTCACTGTTCAAGGCCTTTTCCATTTTTCATTTGATGACCATCAAAAATGGGAAGTCTAGCCAAGTGCTGGTGACTCAAATCTGTAATCTTAGCTACTCAGGAGCCTGAGATCTGAGGATCAATGTCCAAAGCCAGCGCAGGCAGGAAAGTGGAAGACTTATCCCCAGTTAAACCCCAAAAAGCTGGAAGTGGAGCTATGTCTTAAGTGGTAGAGCACTAGCCTTGAGCAAAGAAAATTCAAAGACAGTGCCCAGACCCTGAGTTCAAACCCCAGTACACACACAATTGGAAATCTGATGGCCAGTTAGGTAGGTAATTCCTTGTTTTTCCTTTCTGTATTAAAAAGGGATGAAAAAAAGGTGCCAGTGGCTGTAATCCTATAATCCTAGCTACACAGGAAGCTGAGATCTGAGCATCGTGGTTCAACACCAGCCCAGGCAGGAAAGTCCATGAGACTCTTAATCTCCAATTAGTCACTAGAAAATTAGAAG